TAAGTGACTGAATTACCCACTTCCCACATTCTCTCTACAGAGGGATTCTCACTTACTACACTGCTGCTCATCAAAAGGAAGCCAAGGAATCCATGAGCTTGCTGCTATGAAAAACACTGTGCCTGCTACACTGTCTTCAAGAAACCTCCACCACCACAGTACTATAAGCCAAGAGGAGGATGTGTTTCACAAACACTTAGCCCCAAATACACCTGAATAAACTGCTTCAGGAAGCCAGGAAAGGTGGCAAAATACAACAACCACGAAGTAATTCCCAGCATCTTGGAAGAGGCAACTTACTGAATTTAGGACAGCATTGCACAGAGTTACCAAACATTTTTAGTTGCAGAAAGTCTCCTGCTGCAGAGTTTCCTAGTACGTGGTAGAGCTTGCATTGGCCGGGGTCAAGCTACAAAAGATGTGCAAGGCAAATTTAACCTATCTGAAGCTTAAAAGTAGTTTGAAGAGCTTTACAGTGTGTTCATGTAGACATTTTCAAGCCTAGACTGCATAAAATGGCTTTGAATAAGGTAAACTGAAATAAAGGAACAAATATCTTACCTAATCGTAGTTCTCCAAAATTACCACATCCTATTTTTTTGCCAACTCTAAAGTTAGGTCCAACCATTAACACTCCAGAATTTAAAGAAACACTTCCACGTGGATTATGGCCTGACCTCCCACTAGGCCGTGTGACTCTTTCATCTGGCTTGTCCTTATCTTTCTTTTTATCATCCATGTCAAATTTATGGTATTCCACTTTGATTTCTTCCTCTTTTTAAAAATCAGTATAAGCAAACTCCAGTTGGACAACGTGAGAACGAAAACATCACCGGTGAAGTGCACAGCTGGTTACTGTCAGTAAGCAGTCAACAGCAGCATGTTCATCCCATTCGCAAAGCCTTGATAGCATCTGTAGTAAAAATATCTCTCCAGAGTGCACACCACCAGCAACATTTACTAGTATTTACAGGAATTCTGTTGAAGAAAAACAAAGTTATTCAGTAAGTAAGGTTCTCGTACAAAATTACCTCTCTCCAACTAGTCATACAATTAAGCTATAACTAATTATATTTGCTTTACAGCTCCTCTATGAAAAGCACTACTGTAAGGTTAAAGTGTCTGATTCTAGCACGTAATGGCAAGAGATATTGGTGTGACTAAAGTGAGCTAAAAAAATCTCAAGGCTTAATGCAACAGACATTTAAAAAAAACGAAAAACACCCTATAAAGCTACTTCCTAAGTAAACACACTTAAAAATGGACATTTAGACACTCGTTGCATCTTATGCCAGCTCTGCAAAAAAAAGCATTTTTGTGTGTGTCATCCTCCCCCTCAGTAATATCAGTTGATATAAGGAAATGCTCAAACTGCACAGTTATTGAAGTTATAGAAAGATGTTCAAACTTAAATTATTCCATTATCTTTTCCGAATTATAATTTCTGAAACGCACAATTTATAAACTCATGGCAAGGACACTTCAGTTCTTACTCAGTAACTCCTAGAGTCTGAAAATAAAATATATTTACTTATTCCCCCCTGCCCCACTTAATTATATCATAAATTTGGTTCCCCGCTCCCCTTGTCCAGGATTTAGCATCATTCCCCAGACACTAATTCCAACATGGATTTCAGCAAAAACGTGTTAGTCTACTGCTGCAATAAAGAATCCCAAGAAAGCTTTCATTGTTACCTTGCCCATAAGAATAGTGGATATTGTTTTCTATTTGACAACAGTGGTTTAAAACCCCAAAATTTACACGATAGGCGGCTATTACATAGACAAAATTGCAGGGTGAGTTAAGCATCTGTTCAAAAGTATTCTGCTAAATTTCCTTCAATGTTGGGAATACATTATTTTTTCAGAGGATGTTTTCTTTTACTGCAGTGTGTTTCATGTGCTACAACCTATATTAAAGAAAGACAGTCATCAGGAGCTTTATTTTAAACACTTTGAACTGAAGACACTTTCATTTCTTAAACCCATTTCTCACAAAGTATAATTATTACTCAAATCATAGCTTATTACAACATTTTAAAAATCAACGAGAAAAGATAGCAAAGTATTTGGGCCACCACCTGAATCTGCTGAATCATGGATATTCATAGCAGGGGCATAACTAGATGTTATTAAAAATCACCAGTCAACAGCTGACTAACCTATCACCTGAACAATGAATCACATGGAAATTTGTTTGGTGAAGAAACATGATCACCTTACTATGAAAGGGGGAATGAAAGATTTGTTCTGTGCACAATCAAAAAACATACGCGCAGGTTCCAGTTCAAGCAGACTCACTTAATGCAAGGAAAAAGGACTTCTGCAGTGAGTGATGAATTCAGCGCTGTGGTATAGTACAGACAGAGGCATTTGAGAGAAAAACACAAGCACATTTGGCTACAACAATCTTGCAGGTTCAAGCACCACCACTAGATACCTAAAGTCACTTTCCAAACCACAGATCTCAATAATGGGCTCAATGGGAAGCAACAGGTGATTTTTCCTCACCCACTGTGCTACAAAAGCTAGGGAGGAAATAAGAACACTAGATATGGAGTGTGTTGAGGTAGGACTTCAAGGGCACCATTACTTAGAAAGAAGGTCAGTACATTTGATGCAGCAGAATGCATAAATATTTTAAGAACCAAAGAAAAAAAGACTGAAGTTCCACATCTTAACTCATCCTCCAGTGATAAACAACAGTTTTATTTTATTTATTATTAGGTAAACAATCCTAGAATTTTTCGTGCTAATACACAGGCTTCACAGCAAACAGAAGCAGTGCACTTAATCACAGCATATTCCTGCCTTCACCAGAGTAAAAAAGCACAGACAGTTACTAACACAATGCTTTGGTCATCTCAGCAGTAGTGGAAGGCCTAACTTTCCGGCACTGTTTTCCACATAGCAAAACTTTCATACTACCAAGTGCTGAAAGACGTATCTTGACAGTGAAAGGCTAGAAAGGCACTAATAGTTTGTATCAATGATACCAGCATGCTACACAACACAGCACTGAGACTATGGAAGGGACTGGATATGCAGGCAAACCTGAAGAAATCCAAATCCGATTTCAGAGTTAATAGGATTCCTAGCTTACAAGTTTTCCATAGCTTACCTGTTGACACATATACAATATCTAATCATGTCAAATGAGTTTAAAATTGTATTCTTCTAAGGCAGCACAACTCCATTTTACAAGTACAAAACAGTTCTAGTTTTGTCATTTATTTCAGGCTTCCCCATTTGTACTTCACTATCACCTGAGCACAGCATGTAGCCTTGCTAACCGAGCTGAAAACTTAGGTGTAACAGGGTGGGTTCTGAAGGTGCTCAAAAGTAAGTTATGATGCATCAGGAGAGTGGAATAACAAGCACACAGCATGAGGACAAAGGATAACAGAAATTCAATGGCAGCACTAAGGCAATGGTGATCTGTAAGAAAGCAGCTGTGAGCCAAAGTAAGTCCATCATCACCATAAAAGCTTCCAGTCTCACACTGTTTCAGCTCATGCAGCAATGAAGTACCAGAGAAGCCAAGCTGGGAGCTCAAGTATTTACGCAAAGCATATTAGCTGCTCTGTGTGCATGCTTGTCCAGATGAACCCTAGTAGTTAACAAGACATTGACACTTTACCAGTGAGAAATTAATTTGCAAAATACATTTTTTTAACCCATCATAGGAAATTCTTTAATTTGGAAAGTCCAAATCATAACCAAGCCCACTTCTTAATACTATAAAAGTTACTAGAGATGAAAACATGCAATAATTCAGAATTTTCATTTTAAAAATACCCTCTCTGCACACCAAATACGTTTTTCACAATTCAGGTTTAATATTTTAGATACCAGTTTATTAGGCACTAATGGCAACAGACTTTCTCAGGTCAGTTTATACTATTACTACAGTCTTCATCAAGAGAACTTGCAGCTCCTTCACAAGATTTTATGGAGTACTTACCTTAGAAATACAAAAGGCATTCATGGTTTTGTTTATGTACACTGCACTTACCTATGACAGAGTTACACTGTTGATGGCAGTATCATTTTCTTCACCATAATCCTCACATTCTAGAGGAAAAGCACTAGAAGGTAAAAGATAGACAGATAGATATAGTATTTGCAATTACTTGAACATGCAAAAGTTTCTGATACAGTATGCAAGTAAATTGTAAGTTATGGGAATTGCATTGGTTTTCCTAGACTGTTAAGGAAGGAAGATGCCGCTTTTTTTTTTTTAAAGACTCAACATAATTGGTAGGGCTCAGAAGCGTGCACTGTCTAAAGTGAAAAAATTACATGTAGTGTAAGCGTTCTAAATTATCTGCATAATCCTTTTCTTACTATGTGCTAGTTATATGTGCTATATTCTCCTCATATGCAATCTGCCTGAAAAATATGCTGTCCTCGTCCTCATTTCACAGATTGATTTTTCTGTTTAGTTTTCATTTTTCATCTCTGCCTACATAAATGAGCACACTTGACCCATAAGGTTCAGCCATACATCCAGAAATATTGTTAGGATTTAAATAAGCATTCTTGCTCAAAAAAAAAAAAAGATTAAATGTCAGTATAATGGCAAACATACCACCAAAGCCAAGTTAACAAAGCAATGTCATAGGAATGAGATAACTATTTATGTTGAAGTATGAACAGAAAGAGAAGGCAACAGAAGCTATGAAAAAAATCAAAATGGTATTGCATAGCAGGAGAAGTAATTAGCTCTTAATTAGAAATTAGATCTACAATCCATACAGATTGAGGATCAAAGGGGAAACAAGACTGGAAGACCTGTAAGGAAGCAGTCAGAGTAACTGAGATGCAAAACTAACATCAGCTAATAGCAGTTTTATTTATTTGATGGAATTTAACAGACATTCCCAAGCACTATAGACTGCCTGAAAAGCAAAGAGAGGCGTGGTGAAGACAAGCAAGAAGAGTGAAGACAATAGCTAGATGCATGTTTCAGTTGACTGACAGCAGTCATACACCTAACACCTGCAGAAGAGTAAAAGGAATCTCAGGCTCAGTTTTAGAAACACAACTTAAAATCAATGGCAGAAGACAGCCAGGCTACTGGTCCATGATAACACACAACTTAAATACAGAACATACAGTCAAATTAACCAAATAAAACATAAACTTAGCCAAAAGACTATGGTAAGACCACCCTGAAACAAAATCTCTATTTGCAATGCAGAAGCACATGAGGACAACTGCATTTGTTGGGTCCATGGAGAATTGACTATTTCTGCCAGTACTGGCTTTACCACATTTGATATAAGAAGTCAAATGCAAAACTTACTAGCTTGGATTCACCAACACATTGGTGTGTCTAAACTGCTAACTCCGGAACTGCAATAGTTACTCCCAGTTCAGGAGGGTTTGTTCAGTTCTCTGCTTGATTAAAGGAACATGCTGTAATTCACCTACGTGCATTATCACTGCCAAACTTTTGTGCACTTGACCTCACAACTTCAGTAATGTTCTTGCTGCATTACAATAGGTGATAAATACTTCAACAAAGCCAAGGCAGGGACTAAAGGATCATTCCCTAAAAACCTCTACTGTCTAAAGGTTACATGAGCAATTTTGTGATATTTGAAGAGAACAGACAACTATTTCCCCAAAGGGACATCCTTACTCTACACAATGCTTTACACATAGATAATTTGCACACAAAGATTGTTTACTTAATAGACAAGGAGATTCCAAGTCAGAAAATCTAGCCTGCTT